CTATTATTATCATTTCAAAATAAGGGAAAATGATTTTGGCACACCAAAAAGTGATTTAGGCATACCCATTGTGAGATAAACAATCTAATTATCCGTTGAGAGAAACATATGGTTTGTAGGTAAGTAGTTTTGATTGGAACAATCTTGAAATAAATTATAGCTACTTAATATGCTACTTTGATGTTATATGTTTTTATTATATCTTTAAATGTTTGTTATGTGGTTTTATTAGATTCTTATTTTAATTTATTTAAATCTTTCCTTATTAGATAGTATTTTAAAAATTAACAAATTACGTGAAAATATATGTATAGGCTAATTTGAAAATAACCCTAAATTCAAAGAACTTCTCACTCCCCTCACAAGAAAAAATACTCTATTTTTCTATGGCTCAACCGCCACCACCCACACTCACAATTCCTCCCAAAGCACCCTTTCCTTCTGTCGGGGTAAGCATCTTTTCATTATTGTTATTATTTTATTTAATTAATTTACTCAATATATTTAAAATTGTTTTTTGTTTGTTGTTTGAGTAGGATAATTTCATGGATTTGAGATTATAAAATTCGTAGGGGTCGGAGGATTTGGAGAGGTGTTTCAAATCAAAAGAGGAGATTACGAAGACAAGTATGCGATGAAGGTGATGTCTCTAAAAGGAGGTGAACTTACAAAGAGCTTATAAGGGAAATATCCTTATTATATGACATTAATCATGATCATATAGTTAAGTAAGTATTGTATAATTAGAAACATTATTTTTGATATACAGTAGCACATTTGTTTGATTTTAAAAACTTTTATTTTTCAAATTAGAACAGATTTTTAATATTGTATATCAAACACGGTTATAGAAACATATGGTTTGTAGGTAAGTAGTTTTGATTGGAACAATCTTGAAATAAATTATAGCTACTTAATATGCTACTTTGATGTTATATGTTTTTATTATGTCTTTAAATGTTTGTTATGTGGTTTTATTAGATTCTTATTTTAATTTATTTAAATCTTTCCTTATTAGATAGTATTTCAAAAATTAACAAATTACGTGAAAATATATGTATAAGCTAATTTGAAAATAACCCTAAATCCAAAGAACTTCTCACTCCCCTTACAAGAAAAAATACTCTTTTTTTTTTCTATGGCTCAACCGCCACCGCCCACACTCGCAATTCCTCCCAAAGCACCCTTTCCTTCTGTCGGGGTAAGCATCTTTTCATTATTGTTATTATAGTATTTAATTAATTTACTCAATATATTTATAATTGTTTTTTGTTTGTTGTTTGAGTAGGATAAATTTCATGTATTTGAGATTATAAAATTCGTGGGGGTCGGAGGATTTGGAGAGGTGTTTCAAATCAAAAGAGAAGATTCCGAAGACAAGTATGTGATGAAGGTGATGTCTCTAAAAGGAGGTGAATTTACAAAGAGCTTATAAGGGAAATATTCTTATTATATGACATTAATCATGATCATATAGTTAAGTAAGTATTGTATAATTAGAAACATTATTTTTGATATACATTAGCACATTTGTTTGATTTTAAAAACTTTTATTTTTCAAATTAGAAAAGATTTTTACTATTGTATATCAAACGCGGTTATCAACCTGTAAAACAAAATTTCAATATTAAAAATCTGTTTTTTTAAAAGCTAGTACGTTCATACTATTTTTTTTTAAAAGACATACATTCATACTATTATTATCATTTCAAAATAAGGGAAAATGATTTTGGCACACCAAAAAGTGATTTAGGCATACCCATTGTGAGATAAACAATCTAATTATCCGTTGAGAGAAACATATGGTTTGTAGGTAAGTAGTTTTGATTGGAACAATCTTGAAATAAATTATAGCTACTTAATATGCTACTTTGATGTTATATGTTTTTATTATATCTTTAAATGTTTGTTATGTGGTTTTATTAGATTCTTATTTTAATTTATTTAAATCTTTCCTTATTAGATAGTATTTTAAAAATTAACAAATTACGTGAAAATATATGTATAGGCTAATTTGAAAATAACCCTAAATTCAAAGAACTTCTCACTCCCCTCACAAGAAAAAATACTCTATTTTTCTATGGCTCAACCGCCACCACCCACACTCACAATTCCTCCCAAAGCACCCTTTCCTTCTGTCGGGGTAAGCATCTTTTCATTATTGTTATTATTTTATTTAATTAATTTACTCAATATATTTACAATTGTTTTTTGTTTGTTGTTTGAGTAGGATAAATTTCATGGATTTGAGATTATAAAATTCGTGGGGGTCGGAGGATTTGGAGAGGTGTTTCAAATCAAAAGAGGAGATTCCGAAGACAAGTATGCGATGAAGGTAATGTCTCTAAAAGGAGGTGAACTTACAAAGAGCTTATAAGGGAAATATTCTTATTATATGACATTAATCATGATCATATAGTTAAGTAAGTATTGTATAATTAGAAACATTATTTTTGATATACAGTAGCACATTTGTTTGATTTTAAAAACTTTTATTTTTCAAATTAGAACAGATTTTTAATATTGTATATCAAACACGGTTATCGACCTGTAAAACAAAATTTCAATATTAAAAATCTGTTTTTTTAAAAGCTAGTACGTTCATAGTATTTTTTTTAAAAGACATACATTCATACTATTATTATCATTTCAAAATAAGGGAAAATGATTTTGGCACACCAAAAAGTGATTTAGGCATACCCATTGTGAGATAAACAATCTAATTATCCGTTGAGAGAAACATATGGTTTGTAGGTAAATAGTTTTGATTGGAACAATCTTGAAATAAATTATAGCTGCTTAATATGCTACTTTGATGTTTTATGTTTTTATTATGTCTTTAAATGTTTGTTATGTGGTTTTATTAGATTCTTATTTTAATTTATTTCCTTATAAGATAGTATTTCATAAATTAACAAATTATGTGAAAATATATGAATAGGCTAATTTGAAAATAACCCCTATTTGATATTAACCACTTTACTTAATTATTTTTTTGTATGTAACCCCCTTTAATAATAAAAATATATAGGATTTATCACTGCATGACAATTGTAATAATTAAGCATAGTAAATTAAGAATTTATTCCCACAAATAGTCTTACTTTAATAAAGGGTAGTTAAAATTACCTATGGTTAGTTTTTTATTTTTTTTAAAAAAAATACTAAAATTAAAGCAAGAAGAAAAAAAAGAAAAGAAAAAAAAAAACACCACCACCACCAACTAACCCAACCAACACCTCCACAACTTCCACCATTACCTTCAATCAGCCACCACAAAACCTGACCCTAATCAAAACCCCAACCACCGCGCGCCCAGAACCCTTCGACCTTGACCACCGCGCGCCCAAAACTCCTGGCCTTGATTACCGCTCCGTTTCAGGCAGAGAAGCTAGGGGTTAGCGGCGAAGGGAGAAGGGGAAGGGGAGAGAGAATATGGGGAGGGAGAGGAAGAAGAGCGGTTGGGGGAAGAGTGGGCGCCGGCAGAGAAACTTTGCCGGACGCCGGCAGCGAAGGGTGGCTGCCTAGCTGGTTGGGGATTAGTTTTTTTTTTTTTTTTTTTTTTTTTGAAGTGATTTTTTTTTGTAGTTAATTTTAATTAAATTTTTAATGAAAAAAGTTTATAATTGAGATAAATTTCTTAATTAAGGTTATTTAGTGAAATAAAAAAAAAATAAGGATGTCACCATTTCAGTGTTACCCAATAAAAAAAATTAAAAGAAAAATGTTTTTGCAGCTTGAACCGCATCTGGAAAAAGCTTCAAGGTTGGAAAGAGAAGTTGCTTTCTAGAGCCAGGAAGGATGTGTTGATCAAATCTGTGGTTCAAGCAATTCAAACATATATGTTGGGGGTCTACAAGATTTCTAATGGAGTCCTAGATGAGATTCGATCTCTTGTGGCTAAATTTTGGTGGGGTAGCTCGACGACTCAACGTAAAATACGTTGACGGGTTGGGAATCTTTATGTGCTCCAAAATGTTAGGGGGGCATGGGGTTTAGGGATATGGAGGTATTCAACATTGCTTTGTTAGGCAAGCAAGCTTGGCGGTTGACACAAAATCCTAAGTCACTCCTTGCTCATGTTTTTAAGGTGAAATATTATCCGAACTCCACCTTTCTTGAGTCCTAGCTCCTTGGGCTTTAGTGGGAGTTATTCGTGGAGAAGCATTTGTGGTGCCAAGACTTTAGTGAGAGAAGGATTGATATGGAAGGTCGGGGATGGTTCTCAAATTAATATATATGGGATGATTCTTGGGTGGCGGATGACCAAGGATGCTTTATTTCTTCTCCTAGGACTGATGCAGTTAATTTGGTCAGTGACTTACTCATATCGGGCTGTTATGAGTGGAATGCTAATCTCATATCAAATTCCTTCAATGAGAGAGCCAAAAATGTATCCTTGCAATCCTGACTAGCTCTTGTGCTCCAAAGGATTCCCTCACTTGGGCTTTCACGAATGACGGGAACTACTCTATCAAATCTGCATATTTGTTGGGCAAGTCGTGTAATCTTGACGCCTTTCACCAGGCTTGGGTGGACATTTGGAAGGCTAAAACCACACCAAAGATATGCCATTTTCTGTGGCACACTTGTATTGGTACCTTACCCATCTGCACTTCGCTCCAGAACAGACACATGATTGAAGATGATAGTTGCCCATGGTGCGTTGAAAAAGACTTAGGAGCATGCTTTATTTGAAATCTTTGGGTAGAAAGCAAGTGTTTTTGGATGCTTAAAGACTACAAGATGAATGAGTTTCTTGCTTAGGTGGCTATCTGGAACAAACTTGTTTGGGTGAATCAAGTACCTTGTGAGATTTCACCTTATGTACTCTCGGATACTCTATCCTTTTCTTAATATAGCACTTATCTTTCTTTCAAAATAAAAAAAAAAAACTAGGGGTTAACATTGAGAATTTCCCTTAATTAAATTTCTTAATGGTTTTATTAAATTCAAGTTAGTGTTGAAATTCTCATCACGAATTTAACATGATTAACTAGCCAAACAAAAAACCATTAGTAAATGAAATTATTGATAAATATGTTATGAGGCTAGTACTTTTTCATGTAACACAACAAGACACAAGTGAAGACTGAAAAAGTAGTCCTCGACATGCTGAATTAAACAAATCAGCACAACACGACACGTTAATAATGATTTTGGTTTATGTTGAGGTTCCCAACCATTTAACTTTAAAGACGGTTACGAACAGAACACGACACGTTACATTTGCAACTCCGGAAAAAAAGGGGGATTACTTTTAACGGGATATTATAACTTCTGCATCTACTCCCTCGAGCAAGTTAAAATTGGCTCCCTCTTCCACATGGATTTTTTTCTGACAAAACACCATACGACACGTCTACAACTCCAGGAAAGATTGGGATTACTTTTGATGAGATACTATGACTTCTGCAGTTGGATGACTCCTTGGAGCAAGTTGAAATTTAGCTCTTCACACTTGGAAAATTTATTCGGCATAATGAGTAGTTGCTCAAGTGCAATGGAATTTCTTAGCAAATATATCACAAAATCTATTTCTTTCCCCACTTCACTATAGCTTTCGAATGTAACTTTTTTCAACTGGAAATGTAGGCGGTTTGGACAATGTCTTTTTGGGCTCCGTTTGATTTTCAAGCGATACTTCATCTGTAATCCGTCAAAAAAGTAAAACATTAACAAAGAGAGTAACAATTTGCAATGACGAATCCAAAAAATTTTCCTTATGAGTTCAGAGTCGTTAATCACATATATTAAAATCAAAATCTAATACTTCCTCCGTTCTTTTAATATCACCTCACTTGCCTTTTAGGGAAGTTTCACAAATATTGCACCACTTCAATTTTAGGACAAAAAATATCTATGTTCACACTGCAAATACCCTACATAGCCTTACTTTTTCACACTTACTTTTTATTTTATCTTTACATTACATGGATAATTTTGTATTTTTACGTTTCTTTCTCTTACTTTTTTCCACTAACAAATTTTGCCTCCAAAACCCCTATGATGCAATAAAAAAATAACGGAGGAAGTAGTTTAAATAATAATAATTCAGAAGTGCACATGTTCAAAAGATTGAAGTTCTTTTCTTGGTTTAAAAGCGATCTATTAAACCATCATTCTTATAGTTTTAGGACGGAGGGAGTAGTATTTACTTGAATATAGAAAAAGTATGAGTAAATACTACTTAATCAATATAACTCTACAATCCTTTTTGCTTGAATTAAAAATAAAAAAAAAAAAAAAAAAAAAAAAAAAAAAAAAAAAAAACTATGAGTAAATACTACTTAATTGATATTTATTTAAAAACTTAAGTAGTTTTTTAAAAAAACAATAACAATAGACTAAAGTCTAAAAGAAACAATAAGATATGTGTTATATTAATTTCACAATTTTATATTTTTGGGTAGAAATTGAATGATAAGTTAAAAATTTACATGTATGTTGTCAAGAAACTAAGAGTTATATTTTAATACTCCAAAATTAGTGCTAATTAAAACTAACAATTTGTTATTGTTGGATAATTTGTGAAGAGTATTTTCCTCATTGATTTATGTAAAGAATGAATTGCTTAAAAAGATGGGCAATCAACTATATATATTAAATGATAGTTAGCTAGATAAATTATTCCTACATGGCTGAGATCAAATGAGAAGATTATTAAAATAAGAAGGATAAATTGTGCATTTATTTTGAGCTAAATGTGCATATATCTATAATTCATAATATTTAAAACTCAAAGGGATAATATGGTATTGTCATATGTCACCCTTCCCTTAGTATATATGGCATCATATGTGCAATGACATGTCAAGACCTATCTATCTATTCTAATTACCAATAATTAATGTAAATTATGATTGAGTTATAATTTGAACCACTAAACTTAAGAATGTCATCTACCATCTAGTTATCAATGCCTCTTAATATATACTTCCTTTTATTTTTTTTAATTGCAACACACCTTTTATCACGCTTTTTGAGGCGGTGATTAAACTAGGTAAACGAATGAATTAAAATATGAAATTTAAAGCATAACAATTTATCCCTTTCTTCTTATAGGTAGTAAAATTTTGTGCTTAATAAAATAATTTAAACTACGCGTTGCAACTTTCTAAATTGACTGTAACACTCTTTATTTCACAACTTTGTACTAACATGATATATATATATATATATATATATATATATATATATATATATATATATATATATATATATATATATATATATATATATATATATATATATGGTGAGTGGAAAAATGGACAGAGATGGTGAGTGGTGAAAGGTTGTGTTCACTGGCTGCTAAGGTTGTATGTGTCATATAGCGCATTGCATTCTATTTAACCAGTTTTTCTATATATATATATATATATATATATATATATATATATATATATATATATATATATATATATATATATATATATATATATATATCATGGGTTCAACCGGATCCATCATTGCAAGTTTGAAACAGATATTTACACCATTTTTGGCAACATATATGCTTTGGAGAGTAGTGTCACATAGTTACTTAAATAGCCAATAAAAATGAGATATAAAATCAGCATAGATTCTGAAATTTTAGACTGAAACTCAATAATGACTAACCTCTATATGTAATGCCTCAAGGGTGGGAAAAGCATGTAGGAAATCAGTTATAGTGAAAAGATCAAAACCTATTGGAACGCATAAACGTAAATGCAGCTGCTTCAGACTATGCGTAACAATGCTTGCAAGCATTGATGGTACCTGAAGATATACGACAGATATGTTAGTACTTACTAGAAGGAAGATCTGAAATACGTACTTAAAGTGATATGGCATAGATCCTACAAAAACTCAAAACTTTTTCACCAACCTCATTGTTTACCGTAAGAAATAAGTGCTGAAGCTTAGGAGCGTTTCTGGTGAGGTTATGAACAAACTTAGATGAGCAGCAGCCGTCTCTTTCACAAAAAATCCGCAAATACACTTCCCTCAAACAAGGGAGATGGGAAAATGTGATTTCATCACAGCATCTATTACTGAAATCAAAGATCTCAAGACAAGGACAATCGAGGTCAATGGCTGAGCGTGTCTCAACAACAAATTTCTTTAAATACGGAAGTTTTAACATTTAAACACTCAATAATACTGTTGCTTGAAATCATGGTTAGCGATGTGAGATTCAAAACAGAAGACAGGATACGATCTATGTCACTCTTAAGCAAGACATATGACAACTCGAGTGTAGTTAATTGAGTGAGCCAACTTTTACACCCACTTTTACACCCTGAACAAAGATTTAGCTGGCAATGTTCTAGGCGTAAATGCTTCAAACAGGATGCCTCAGAGTGCAAAAGATGACAAGGTAAAATATAGCTTGGAGCATCAATGTGAAAAGTACGAAAGTCGAGGTTCAATTCCTCAACTCCCTTTCTGATAACACTAGCAATCCATGCATCAATATGCGAAGCATATTCTTTTGTAAGGGCAAAACTGAGATTAAATTTACTTATTTTCTGTGCTTTCCATATATCTAGAAACTGATTAACAGCTTTGACAAACTTAGCTCGACGATTATGTGTTGTTCCAAACAGACTTACAGAAGTAAACTCCAGGATTGAACGGCAATCGGGAAGGTCTTTCCACCTATGTGACAATGACCTTGTTCTAACAGCATCTCTTATAGGCAAGAAAGAAAGAAGGTGACAAAGAATGTCATCCGGTAAATTGCTTATGTGATCATCCATTTGATCGAATTTGTTACCTTCAACCCAAGAGAAGCGTACAACTTGTTAAGTTTTGTTGCAATTATTTAAGAAAACCATACAATTGAAAGTTGAAACTAATTTAGCTATAACTTTCAACAACAATAAATAATAAATAATTTAGCTATAAGTTTACAAAAAATAAAAAAACAACAACAACAATTATAATAATAATCTATCTACAACTGTCCCTGAGCCACGGCAGGCCCGTCCTGAGCCAGGGAAGGAGGGGAGGTTAACCTGGGCCCAAGGAAAAGAGGTCTAATTTCATAGTACAATTCTAACATTAAAGGGTTCTGCAACACATTAGCAATCAAATTTGATTCAATTTTTAAATAAGGCTTGAAAAATCACATAAATAATTTTAGGGATATTTGATTCACACAGTCGCTGGTTATGATCTTTCACACAATCTTAGTAATTAGAACCAATTCAAATTTACGAATCCTAAACTTACTACACTGACAATTCAATTATATTAGATTTGATCAATGGTAAACCATAGATTGTGAATTGGCATGATGATTACAAAAAGAAACAACAAATTACCTCAGAAGCTGCTTCAACGGGTGATACAAAGTATCAGAAGGCGCTTCAATGGAGACCTGAGAGAGAGCAGGAGGGGGTAGGACTCGTAGGAGGGAGGAGGTAGGGAGGCTATTAGGTACGTTTGTTAAATAGAGTACAGTATAAACGGACGAGTCTTTAGTTTTCTATTTATAATGGTAAGAAAACAATAGGAAAGTCTCGTTATTATAGGAATTCCTAATGCAAATGGACTAGGTTTTATGAAGTACAAGCTATGAGACATATACAAAACTATTATTTACCTCATAATATTGTTATTGTAGATTTTTTCGAAAATCAATTCTTACATAATACTTTAAATTGACGAAGGTTTAAATTAGAGATCGTAAAAAAAAAAAAAGTTTTTTCTACATAGTAACCCGGTTTATTTCACTTTTCTACGTTGTGACCCAATTTATATCACTTTCTACACTATAACCCCAATATACATTTTGTTTCCATACGGTAACCTTGTCGTTATCCCGCCGTTAAAAAATTCCATTAATGGGACCCACTCTCCATTTATTAATATTTTTTTATCGATTTGAACCTTCCGTTAAAGGTTTTGGGGGCTATATCAGTTCTTAAGGGACCAAATTGAGCTCAGATTTCACAAGAAAGTAACGTAAATGCCTCCAAACAAAGGAAGTGTGACTGTGGGATACCTATGGCTAGGCTGACATCATGGACAAGAGAGAATCCTGGAAGAAAGTTCAAAGCTGCAAATTCTATGATCCTAAAACAGAAAGTAGGGGTAGCAAGTGCTTTGAGTGGCTGGATGAGGAAGAAGGCACTGATTGGCAAAGGGATGTCATTAATCAATTTTTACTTGACAAGAAATTGATGAAGGGAGAAATCAACTCACTGCAGAGAGAAGTTGAAGATTTAAGTGGCCAAAGAAGGTGTTTGCTAAGTGAAAATGACAACTTGCTAGTGAAGTGCAAAGCTCTAAGTTCTGAGAGGAAGAAATACAACAAGGAAGGCCAGCGCATCTATGCTGGTGGCTGCACAACTGTCCTAGAAATTACCATATGTTGTTTATTTCTGATTGTAATTGTTTTAGTTGTATTCAAATGAGATTAGGGTAGTGCAACTGGGTTAGAGTTAATGATTGTGTATTTAGATGATATTTATGTAAGACAACAACTTCCATATGTAAGTCTTTGAATTTATTTATGAATGAAATTTGCAACAATTAAATGTAGCAATAAAATAGTCTTTCATAGCAATTTAAGCACTAAAGTGCATGGCAACCATCATAGTTATATTCCACAAAATTAGTTGTTACAGACAAATACTGCCAAATCTAAGTTGTCTTAAAAACCATAGAATGATAGATGCAGGGTACATTAACCAACAGGATAAAAAGTCTAGGGACTAAAAATACAATTACACCCTAATTCTTCTTCCTTTTCCCTTTCCCTTACTTTGTTGCTGTCTGTTTTGCTGATGTTCTCTGTTTTGCTGTTGTTGTTGTTGATGATGCTTGGGATGCTTGGGTGCAGGATACAGGTTGTTGGGATGGTATCTCTTGAGGGAATGTTTTGTTAGCTATGCTGAATGGCCCAGGAGTTCCACCAGTCTGTAATGAAAAAAATAAAATTAATGTCCAACCAATTAAACAAATAAGAAAGAAAACATTACACATGTAATATTTTGGGTTGGATAATGTACACACCTTCATAGCAGCCCTTGCCTCCTTCTTTCTTCTTTGTTCCTTGTTCCAAGCATTTTGCAAAACTGGTTTGCATGCTTTGTTGGCCTGTGCTGGAGGTGCAGGAGCTTCCATTGGTGCATTGCCACAAGTCTTGGCATAATGACCAAGTTGTCCACAGTGTGCACACCTGTTTTGTCTAATCTGTTGTTTTTGTTGTCTTCCACTACTTTCAATGCTCCCTCTCCTCTCTACAGCTTTCTTTTCTTTGACTTTGGCCTCCCAGGCATAACCCTTACAACTGGAGGCAGGGCTGTCTCAGATGATGCTGCTTCTCCCAATGCTTGGGTCTAGGCATAGGCTTCACAGGTTCCTCATATGCAAACAAATATTTCTGCCTAATGTAATACACATCCACAAAGTCTTCTGGGTCCACCCTCTTGTCCAATATGCATGCATACCCATGTACACATGGAATACCAGTCAACTGCCAATGGTAACATGTGCAAGTCATGTTACCTAAGTCAACCAGCACTATATCACCATTGAGATCAACCTCATAGGAGTCTACTCTTAAAGCCTGCACTATACAGTGCCTTGCAGCCCTCTCAATCCTCTCAAAAAGCTTAGTGACATAGGGCATGAGCTTCCCATCTATTTTCTTGGCTGCCTCCCATTTCTCATTATGCCTCTTCATCATATACCTTCTCATCCACTCCATCTGAGTGAGTATTGGCTTGTCCCTTGCATCTCTTATAACAGCATTGAATGTCTCACAGACATTGTTCAATAGCATATTTCATTTGCAACCAGTAGAAAATGCATGCCTAGACCATTGCTTAGCAGGAATTTTATCTAGATACACATATGCATCTTCAGACAGGAAATGTATACATTCCATTGCCACCTCAAATTCAGCCTACCACATCATTCCAAAAACAGTAGAACAATTATTAATGTATCATAGTTCAGCAAAATGTAGCAACATGATTCAAAGCACATTGAACTCAATTGACCTTGAACAGATTTAGCAAGCTACTAACCAACTAAGTTTAAACTGATTGGCATGTCCTACTTAATACTGAATTTGAGTAACTCACCAATGTTGTAGCCCTAGCAGCATTCTAGAAGAGATCTTTGAAGGTTGATCCACTGAATTAAAGCTTGAAATTGGCCCAGATATGCCTGACACATAACCTCTTCTCAGCAAATGGGACTTGCAATTCCAAGGCTTCAAGGAGACGCTGTCATATTATTAATCAAAACTTTAGTCCATAACAACTCAAATCATATTAGGTACTAATAATAGTTTAATTAGGTATATGATGCCTCACCTTTTGTCTGTCAGACATGAATGTCCAGCCACCACCTTCACACACATCACCAAGGTCCTTTTTCAAACACCCCAGGAACCAGCACCATGTGTCCTTATTCTCCACTTCAACTGTAGCCCAGGCAACTGGATATATGTTATTATTTCCATCTTTTCCAACAGCCACAAGAACTTGCCCTAGGTAGGCTCCCTTTAGGTGACAACCATCAAGACCTATTAGAGGCCTGCATCCCTTTATGAATCCACTTCTTAGTGGTTGAAGACATATTTACATCCTCATAAACAGTGGATCCACATCTACCACTATGACCACCCTAGAGCCAGGACAATACTTAAGTACAGCTTTCCCATAATCCCAAACTCTGGCATATTGCTCACAAGCTGACCCATAAATCATCAGCTTTGCCCTAGCTCTAGCAAGCCATGCTTTTGAATACTTGACTGTTATGCCTAAGTCACTCACCACCCTAGCTCTGAAACTTTTTATATCCCAACTAGGGTTGTGCCTCCATTCTTCAACATACTTCTCAGCAAGAAACTCAGCATTCACCATTGAATTCATTTTACTTCTCATACACATATGCTTAGGCCTAAAATCTATGATTTGCCAAGCATTACTGTTGTACAATCTTTTAGCAGACACCTTAAACTTGCACTTCTTCACCCTAACACTACAGCTGCAGATCCCAGTCACTTGGCATCTCTTGAAATTCCACTCACACTTACACCTTCTCTTACAAAATGTGGTTATCCTTTTACCACCATTGTGCAGATAGTAATACTCATATCTGTTCACTATTACATGTATCCTCAAGGCTTTCCTTAGAATTGTGCTGTTGGAGAACCTCAACTTCTTCACTAGCACAACTGGTTTTTTGAAATCAGTTTCTTCATGAAACCAAGGACTGTCATCTTCTTCCTCATCTGGCCCATGTAAACTTCTTTGCTCATCTGATTCAGAACCTTCATCATGGACATCAACTTCCTCCCAACCAATGTCCTTACTCAATTGTTTCACATCCTCCTCCCTGTCCACACCTACACCCTGTGAACTTTGACCACTGTATTTAACAACCTGCAAGCTATTTTCTACTGCAGATAAGATGTCTTCTCTAGTCTGCCTATGCCAATCATCATCATCACTTTTTGCCTCTTCTTCCCCACGCTCCCAATCAATGTCTAGATCACTTGCATCTGAGCTTGATGACCCAGACCCTGATTCATCCTCTTCACCCAATTTAAGAGCCCTATTTGCTTTTATTTTCTCAGTTGCCTACCCTGTACCCTTTTGCAGCCTCACACCCCATCACCAACTTTTTCTACAACCTTACCCTTCCCTTTATCAACAGATCTAGAAAACCTAGGGCTTCTCCTCACTTTGCTCACACCAGGTTCTGTTTCAGGTAGTTTAGAAAGTCTAGGGCTCCTTCTCAAGACAAGGTCAGTAGGTTCTTCTGCTGTGTTTTGGGTTTGAGGTGGAACTGAGCTTTGTTGTGTTTGGGATGGTTGTGTTTGGGTTGGGTTGGATACAGTAGCAGTATAGGTAGACAAATGGGTTGGCTCTTGTTGGGTTGGCTCTTGTTGGGTTGGATTTGAGGTTGGCTCTTGTTGGGTTGGATTGGATCCAGTAACAGTCTGGCCAGACACATGTCAAGTCCAGTTGGATGCACTGTCATTCAAGTCTGACTCTTCTGGGATTGAGGTGGGGTTATTATCTCCAGCTACAATGCTTAAGGGGTTCTCATTGGGGGTAGGTCCATCAGAAACTGTACAAAACAACTCTAAATACCCATCCCTGTGCTTGGCTTCTAATAAACCCTGTATATCCTCATCACTTTCTACCTTCCTTTTACCAGTCATCCAAGACTTACCCTTTTCTTTGAACCACAGAACATACAGGTCAGGTACATCCCACCCTATGTCCCTAATCCCTTCAGTACATAAATATCTTAAGTATCCTACTGTCAAGTAAGTGAGAGAGACATTCCCTTTTCCAATAAGTGAAGCCAGCTTCATACACTTAGTACTGGCCTCCTCCCCTACGGCTCTTAATCACAAAACCCCCATATATTCTTAGCTTAATGTCAACCTCATTATCAACAACAACCATTTGTTTTTATCTA